CCCATGTGAAAGACACTCCTTGTTTTAAAGCTCGCCTGTCACGAAATTGGACAACCACGCAAGCAAGATGTCCCTCATGGACGCAGGGCGAGTCCGGTCATGGGCCTTCCCACTCCGATTTGCAGGTTGAGAGAAAGAGGGTTCCGGAAGGCCAAAAGCTGATCATTCGATTCGGCTCCTGTGTAAAACTAATCCTCAATCCTCTTGCGAGATGGTTGTGTTTTTCTTGGTCGTGTACCACTTACAGAAATCCTTCTGGCAGATGGTGGTTTTCCTTGAGGTGGTTCTTGCAGTGGTGTGCCACTTAGGGATCCCCATTTTGAACAGCCTAGCAAACCATGGCCACAAACCCTGGCTACAACCCACCGAACGGGGACGAGCGATTCGTTCTAAAAAGTCCATGTGCCGGCCAGGTGATCAAAGAGAATCGCAACGTCGCAGCGAATCTTAAACTGGGCGGTGTTCTTTTGGTTCTCTTTGCGAGCCACCCATGGCGAGCAGAAAACCCTCAATGCCCCGGCCGCGGCCGCGACCAAAACCGGACCCAGATGAACACCCCCCCCCCCAAGGAAGAAAAAGCACGACCAGATGACACCGCCCATCTTGGGGGTCCCTTAATAAAAGCGCACCAGATGAACTCCCCTCCCCCCCCAAAAAATAAAATAAATAAAAAAAAATCGGCGAGTCGGCAGGTGATCAACCTCTCCTCCCTGTCCTGGCAGCTGGAGCTGGTGCGTCGCAGCGTGGCCCGGCAGAGGAAGATCTTCCGCTTCGTGCGGGTGTACCAGATCTTTCAGCCCAGCTACACCTCAGGCGGGGTCAGGCCGAACCAGGCCTTTGGTTTTTTGAGTCGGTCCACTAGAGCAGTTTTTTTTTTTGGGGGGGGGGCTAGGGTTTTTTGGTCTTCTGGAAAGAGCATGCCTTCAGAATGGTTGGAAGTTGTATAACCCTTGAGTCCGCGAGAGTCTTTCCAGACTTGATTGAACCTACGACTTGGATGCTGGATAGCGATTTGAGCCGTGCACATTGTTTTGGGTGCGAACATTTTTTTAGGGGCCTTTTTTTGTTGGTTGTAAAGGGACCTAAAGCCCTCGCAAGGACGCGCTCTAGTACTTTTTGACCTTATGCACAAAGGGCTGCAGCTACAGCTGGCCAGGCGGTTTTCGCCAGCGGCCCACAGTCTCACTCTAGTTGAGAGGCATGAAGGAAGGCATTTTGTTCCACGCCGCCTTCCCTCGATTCAATCACCCCCCTGAAATTGGGGATTCCTAACGCGCACAAGAGGGTGGAGCCAGCCACCTGGTTGTTTGGTTCCGTTCATTTTCAGTGGATGCCAAGGATTGGAAAGAAACCCCTTGACTTCCACCTGCCAAGCACCCCGTCTTGCTTGCCAGGCCACTACTGCTTTGCAATCTGCTCGGATGATGTTGATGCTCAAGACCTAGGCTGGTCGCGCCTTACGCAGGCATGTGAGGCTGCCAGGCGAGATGCCTAGGAAGGGGGGCCAATGCGATGGGACCATGCCCTGGTTCCTCACGGGAAGGCAAAGGGAGAAGGCTTGAATGTTTCAACACGTTCAAGCAGGTCGAGCGAGCCCCCACCCGGCTGCCTATTGAATACAGGTTCGTCCCTTTCCCTTGGACCCTTCGACCTGCGTCTGCTTGAAAGCCAGCAATCCCAAGCGAACGCTCAGAGCATGAGCGGTCGCCATGCATGAGCTGTGAGCAAACAGAAGCCGACATCATCGTTCCGTTTCAGCCGAAGATTTCCCATATCCATTTGGCGATGAATTGAAATATGGAACCCCCCTGGAAAGTGGTTGGTGGACATTAAACCCCACCTAAATGATGTCCACCAGACGGTCCCTAATTAGAATTCCATGCCCATTTGATTCCGTCAGAACAGGAACCGTTTTGTTGGTTGCAAAAATGCATATTTCTATGGCCGGTGAACGCTGCAAGAGCAATACCAGCCGTTTTCTACAACCCTTGGTCTTGCCTTTCTGGCCCACATTTCTCGAGCAGTTTGGCATCAGATGCTTACCATCCAGCGCTTCAGCCCTCCCACTCTGCGTTGGAGAGGGATATGAATTTACATTGGGAGTCCTTTGGCGGCATCATCTACATGGGGATGATGTCCACCCATTTTTTTCAAGGGTGTGCCGGTTCCGCATGAACAAACACACGTTGCAGGACGAATCCTTTGTCACCAAAGCATTCTGGATCATCAAACGTGTTCGCCTGCAAGATGAACCTTTTGGTTGGCCACGGGCGCAGGGCTGTGCTATGTCTCAAGTTTGGACCTCTCAAGGTGGCTTTGGTTTTCTTGCGGTTGCCTTTTTAAGCCAAGCTGAAAAGGGTACATGGACTCTAGAATGGGGGACCCCCAAAATGGGTAATGTTCCATTTGGTTTTCCTCGAACCCTTAAAAGATATACACACCCACAGACCCGAACGTATTTGTGGTGTTGGCCGGCCTTCCCGGCCATTTTTGGCGGAGGGCTGGTGGACTGGTCGGGCGTGCAGCCCGGGCGGTGGCTTGGCAAATGGGGGCTTAGGTCGTTTGATTTGGTTTCCTCAAGCGCAATGTACCATCATTGGGGGGACATCCCATTTGGCTGTGGGTCAAAATTGGGTGGGGTTGTATGTCCACCGACCACGGTCAAGAATAGTTACCAAAATGGCACCCTGGTGAATGGAAACATGGACTAAAACCTGTGGTCCCCTGGTGGTTTGATTTTGACCCCTACCCATACGTGTTGTGAACAAGTAGGATGGTTGGGTATTTTTGTTGGGAGGTCGAGCACATGGCTCAATTCGGGCCCTAGTGGTGCAGGAGCTGCCGCGAGAAAATGGGATATCATCAAGGGCCAATGACTTCACGGGAGGAAACTGTTTGGGAAGATGAACTTGCTAAGATCTTCGGGGCTGGTGGCTGTGAATTACGCTGAGCTAGGGCAACCAGAAAGCAGCCGACGGGGAATTGAGGCGGCATGGCTGGGTCTGCAGTTGCATGCGATTTTCTCATCCTTTTGGGTACTACTCCTCTTACTTCTCCGATTCGTATTCATCCAGCGGTGTCTTTTTGGGATCCACCTCGCATTTGAGAGTGCTCTGCACAGCTTTAGTCCCGCCTTCCCCTGACAGAATTCAATTTTTCAGCTTGCACTTGGTACAAGTGGCTCTTACGCAACTGGTCGTGATTTTCTGCCCATGACGTTTGTTCCCATGATCCCCCCCCCCCCCCAAATACCTCACTAGTCGTTATTAGTGGGAAAAGGCCCTGTCCCATAGGATTTGTGACTGTGAGACAGGTACTACTCTCGGGACGTGCATGCGGGCGCCTTTGCCCTGCCGGAGTTTGCGCGCAGAGCCATCGACTCTCCGGCCCTGCTGGGGAACAAAGAGCATGGAGAGGCGATTCCTTTGACTGAGGTAAGGGCCTCCTACGGGTGGTTTCTTTTCAATCTTTTCCTTTGCGGGGCCGAAGCTCTTCAGGCTATTCGGCGTATCGTCTGGACTGTTTCTGCCCTGAGCAAAGTGTTTAGCGTGACTACGAGACCCCTGCTTTTGTCATTCAGCACACGGGGCTGTGGCTTCTCGTGTGGATTGTGAGTCCCGGGATAGTTTCTCCAAATGTGGGAACCCGCAAAACGGTCGGTTTGCCTTTGGCTTTGCTTTAAACCACCACCCCAAACAGGGTACCTGAACAAAAACTTGCCACCCGACTTGCTCCGGGCCGGCTGCAGAACGCAGGCCGCCCACTCTGAGCTCTGACCCCGGATCTGGAAAATTCAGCAGCAGGTTTCTCACCTCAGACCGATCTGGTACGCGCCCAAATTGGCACGAGGAGGGCGGCAAAAGAAGCGGCGCTGCCGCTAAACTTCCGTTTGCTGCGCTGATTTTACCCTGAAAGACACAGGACACACCCGATTCTGCGACTAGCGATGTGCTGGCTGGTGACTGAATGCATAATACATCACATGACGTTACATGACATTTCATTGCGTTACTCGACATTGCAGATACGTCACGTCACGCTATATGGATTGTGTTATATTACGCGGCATTACAGTTACATTGCTAGTTGCATTACGCTACAGGAGACTATGTTTCATCAGACTACGGTGAGCTACGCAACATTTCATTAAGTAACATTATGTCCATTGCATTACAGCACATTACAGTTGCATTGCATTTCATGACATTACGTAGTGTTACGTTATGCTGTGTTACACTACACTAGGCTGCATCTCATTGCACTATAGTACACTGCGTTACGTTACTTTTACTATATATTACATTGGACTACGCTACGTTATGTTACGATGTTACATTTCATTACGTTAGATTACATTTCGTCACGTTACCTTACGCTACACTTCGTTCCACTTCAATCATTTCATCACATATCATAGCATTTCACTACCTTTCACTGCATTTTATGACATTTTATTACGTTTCACCACATTTCATTCATTTTTGGTACATGTTTGTACAAATCGTTACATTTCCTTACGTTACGTTGCCTTTCGCTACGTTACATTCCATTATCTTAGATCACATTGCACTGCATTCCATTCACTACATGATGTTCGGTTCCGTTACGTTTCAAATCATTCACATTGCACACATCACGTTACACCACATTGCACTACGCCACGATACGTTGCGTTACATTTCGCTACGATATTTTGTGATGCATTACATTGCGTTACACCACATGCAACGTTGCGTTGCATGCGATCAAATGGAAGTTCATTGTGTTACATTATGTTGAGTTAACATTCATTACATTTCACTATGCGCGTTACATTACAGTACACTTCCTCACACACACACACATGTGTACATACCTACCCATATATTGTATACGTGTATGTATATGTATACAAAGATATATGCCTGCACAATATATGCAGACACGTATGCACACAGACAAGGCGCTGGTGAGGACTACGGCTTGTGTTCTTTACTGGAAGCTGGAGGGTCCCGGGGCAGGAAGCTGGCTTGAGAGCTGCTCCTGTCCCAGTGCGGACGCCAGCTCTAGAGATGCGAGAAGCGCTTGCTGTGTGTTCGCTGGTTTGGGCAGGTCCTCAGATGGGTGCATTTTGACAAGGGATGTTAGGACGTTAACTTTTTGCCAACTAATGGGTTTTCCATTAAACCACGAAAAATGATAAACTTTTAGCAGGGGAGCAGAAAGCAGCCGAGTTCAGATGGGTGTGTGTTTTTTGGGAGCTACCCTTTGCAGGGTGGCTTAAAGGGACGCCAGAAGGGAAACCATCATTCTTTGGGTTCTCCGGTTTGACACGTACCAGGATATGTGCCCGGGGACTGAATCCCGTCTCCTGACTAGCATTCACCAATTGCCAACTGGTTGAACTGATGTGGGTTGGTGGTTTGAATGTCTGAGTTTGGGAATCAACCTGGCCAAGCATTTGGGCGAAACTCACCAAAGAAGCAGCCACAGCAGCCCTTCTTCCCTTTGCAGCGTGGGAGGTGTGCTTTCGGCCCCTTTGGACCAATGCGGAGTGGCTGGATTGGATTGGTCTCACATCTGTGAGCACCCGTTTTTGGCCTTTGGGGACTAGCTGGCTGGCGAAAGACACTTCGGCGAGGATGCTTCTTTTGGAGCGTTTCTTTTAAATGGAAACCAGAAGGACACAAACGGAGCTCCAGGATTTGGCTATCTCGTGGCGGTACCCCTCGTTTTCGGGTGGGTTTTGAGGGGACACAGGGAACGCATCTCTCGCCATGCTCCTCTTCAATTCTCGCCGCCCAGGTGGGGGCACCCGCCAGAGCCAACGCCAGTGCGCGGAGGCGTTGGTCCGATTTGGGCGCCAAATTTGGGGAAACGTCCCATGTGGCTGTGAGTCAAAATTAGGGTAGCCCAAAATGGGACCCTGGTAAGAGGAAACATGAACTAAAGCCTAAGGTCACCTGGTGGGTGAATTTCGACCCATACCCATGTCTCCAGGGGGGGAGGCTTCTGTCCAGTGGATATTGCTAGTATCGGTCCCGGGCTTCAATCATATCATACTGTTCGGCATCCATATCAAACTGGTATCGATGATCATTAGGCGTAACATCGTCTCAAAATTAGAGGGTTTGGTAACCATTTGTTTCACTTTGAACCAAGCCCGAAAAAGGGTACCCTCCAAAAGACACACCAGAATCCTTGCTGAAGGCGAGGATTGCTTGGTTTAGATGCCTTTTGGCATGCGAAGTATGCAAGCTGAGTTGTCTGACCCGGAGTCCACTTCGTCTGTGGAGTTTCCCCGCGTTGGCGATCGTTGCCATGCGACATTTCCATTGCAAGCATGACATCGCCGAAAGAACGCCTGTTTGAATTTGGCAGCCAGAAGGCGATGTTGAAACCGCCACGGGGGGAAGGAGGGGGAAGTATGGGTACAGCAAGTTGTTTCTTTTGGTTTCCGACACTTGGGCCCCTACAAACCAAGCCTCTGCGAACCAACCCCTAGAAGCCAAACCCCTATACGCCAACTCCCCCTGCAAATCAACCGCCGTGCTCTTTGGGGTGGCTTTTGAGAGAGCCTCCCTCGGCCCAAAAGCAAGGCTCGGACCAGTTCCGCGCTGCCGGTGACCGGGAGCATGGAGGATGGGTGAATTGGTCTTTTGGCAGTGTCTCCACCTTGTTTCCCCGAAGATCTCTGATGTTTGGCGTTCTCGTTTAGTTAGAATCTATGCGGGGGGAGGGAGCGATAACGCAGAGCCTTCGTGTAAAACGCGCGTTTTGGGCCTGCGCGTTCGGATCTCCAGAAGTGCACGCATTTGCGTCTCTCCGGCTGTGTGGTTTCTCCTTGCCTCGTAGGATTGGACTTATTTGAGCGGGACAGTTCCGGAGCATTTTGATGTAGTGCGTAGGTTTGTTCGTCATTGCTGCATGCTTGCCTTCATTTTACTGGTGCCACTTTTGAGTCATGCGTAAGAATGGCTACTGTCTTTGGAGTTGCTGCCAGAATAGCCGAGTTTCTGTTTGATCCCTCTTTGATCCACCCGCAATGTTGATCCAATTTTGGTTCCAATTCGATCCCCAAATTGCCACCTGTGTCCCAGAGAGCTCGTGCACCCTTCCTCCATCAGGTGTCCCATTTGAACGACTGCGACCCCCCCCCCATTTATGGATAGTGAAGTATATGAGCTAATACAGCGGGGTTGGTGGAACCAAAAGAACACCGGGCTTTCAGCGCTCATTATGGTCGGAGTGGTGCGGGCCAGAGCTTCACATGAGCGCTTGGAGTGTCGGATGCTGTTTTGCTAGCGACAAGTTTAAATGGTCACTGCAATCAGCAGGAAGACACAAAGACATTGGACAGCGGCTCGCTTCAGGTTTTAGCCGGAGTGGATGGGACATAATCTTTGCAACCAGATCTTTCGGCAGTGAATGTGTCTTATTCAAGGGGAAGGCCCCGTCCAAACGGTGGACAAACAAACCGGAGACGGCCACATGCCTCTTTGAGCCCAGGAGCTCTACTTTGCGCCGCCTCCAAGGCGAGGTTTTGGCTTGGGCCAAGGGGAAGCCACTTGAAGTTTGAGCGGGCTTTCTCATTTGGAGCAAAACCCGCGAGATGTTCATGGTTTCTCAACAGCTTTTAGGTGAAGAGTTGGTGATGGGCTGGGCGCGCACGGGATTTGTCTTCAATGAGATGTGGCAAGACAGGGGCATTTGGGGAGGGGTAAGTTCGGTGGGATCCCCACTCAGGAGGAGATGTTGCTGGCATTGAAGGTCATCCTTGAGTCGGGGCTTGCACTGCATCATCATGAGGAGTATGGATCTGTCATCCCCACGGAGCTAAACGTGAGTTTCAGGATCATCTGGGTGAGCTCGGATTCATGTCGCCCTTCGGAGAGCTTCCAGACAAATGCTGGACCAGAATTGAAGGGAGGATATGGCAGTTCCCCTTGCAAGACATTCGTGTTTTGTTCTGGGCCCTGAGACCCGCTTGCTCCAAGAATCCAGCCATGAGGTGCTTCTGGAGCGTCGGCTGGTGTTTCTAAGGGACCACCTTTTGGCAATGAAACCGTCGCCATAGGGTACCAGACACACCATGAGGTTGCCTCAACATATGAAAATGATCAACATGGGTGCTTTTCCATTTGTGTTCCTTTGGGGCCCCTTGTAAAATTACCAAACAAGGGATTGCGAGCCTCATCTTCAGGCTTTCCAAGGCGCCCTGCCCGGGCCTGAGCGAGAGTTCCAAGAGTGCGGAGAACCAGGTGGGTCTGATTCAGTGGATTTAGCAGATGGATGGATGACATGGTTTGCCCTTTTTCACTGTTTGTGGGATAAGTAAGCAGGCCCTGGTAGTGTAGAAACTCCTGGATCGGAGTTGAGGGAACCATCAACCAGCTTATCACGCACCAACATTGGCCGTATCTTTTGCGAGAAGGTCGATTTTGCTGCAATAAGACCTCGCTGGTCTCATGGAGGATTGGCCCCGTTTCCTGTACCAAAGTGGGACCCCCGTTTCCTTTGTCCCCAGCTTGCTTGGCAAGGCATGCCCTCCATCCGTGAGGAGGAGCTGCGGCCTCAGCTCGGAGCTTTGAGCTGTCGAGGTGCTACAAGTATCTCATGAAAAAGATTTGGAGCCCAACAAATTGGGTCAACATAAGGATGTCTGTGGGAGGGGGATGAAATGGGGAATTTCGACCCCAGCGTTGTCTCAACATAGGGAGTTGGACCCCACAAATGCGGTTCTACCAGGACCTGAATGGTATCCAATCAAAGCCACCCACAAAGGGTACCCTCAAAAAACCACACACACACACACACACACACACACACACACACACACACACACACACACACACACACACACACACACACACACACACACACACACACACACACACACACACACACACACACACACACACACACACACACACACACACACACACACACA